TGTGTGTTTTATAAGTTTGAACCTATAAGAATGGATGGAGAATATCTCTTTTTAGATACCTCATATTAGAAAAAAAAAAGCTTATATGGGAGTTTCAGAAAAATAATGAATTTTACCACAGAGTTCAATGAGTTCAGAATTTCACACCATGTCTTCATATCTAGCTGTACAGTGCTGAACACGTGTAGGACTGGTTTCTGACGGGGTTTCTGGGCAATGCTTCACATAAATATTTAATAATATGGATTCTGCCAGTGAAAATACAAAAAGAAAGGGAAATTTTCTAGTTAGCTCTTCCGCTATTAATTAGAAACATTCTGTTTGGTGGTTTGAAGTGATCCAGTACCTTTCTATTAATTTGTGGAGTGTTTAGAAGGTGCTATGAACCGTCTAGACATTTGAGAAAGGATGTGCCTTGAAGAGCTCACGAGCTAAGACGAGACAGAAGGGGCGGCTGGAGGAAGGGGAGCATCACTTAGGATTCAGCCGATATATGGTTTAACTAGAGCCACAGTGGGGGCACTGTAGCAGGAATTACTTTTTGGTGAGAGATATTGCTGTAGAGAGCAGGGATGAGGACCTTCCACTGCAGTGCTGTGGATGGAAGCAGCCATGCCAGAAGCTAGCAGAGTGGCAAGAAGGTGAGAGCATGGATATGACAGCAGAAAGCTTAACAAGGCAGAGCTAGAGAGCGTGACAGTGTCACGCTGGAGGTGCTGGTACAGCTGAAGCTTGGAACTTGTGCTTGTGTCAATGTCATAAGCTCGTAGCACCTTAGAGTCCTGTTAAGCCTTTCAATCTCTAAAGCAGGAGTGGAAGAGGCGTTTGGGTACCTCTGTTGCATAGTCAAAGTCCAGGCTCTTACCTGGATGCCACAGTTCAAACCACTACCTTCCACACAGAAACAGCTCTGACATCGCTGGTGAGGTGTTTTGACCATGGCTACCTTACTTGGGCTGAAAATACTGCGTGATAGCAAGGTAAAATCCATATGTTTGGCAGCTAGTTTGCTGGCAAAAAGTTCTTGAATGCTAGCAACTCCCCAGCAGTTTGCTTGAAAATCTTTCCAAGGACCAGGAAAAAGTCTCCCATAATAGATACCACTGCTGTGTATCATCAAGCGCAGACGATGATGGGGCAATCATAAATATTAGGGGGGATGTAGTTACACTATGAGGAGACTTAATTTTGTACGACTCCCGAGTGGGAACGGTCACATTCAGGCTAGGCTACCCAGCTGCTCCTCAGCAGAATAGCTCTGAAGCAAAAGTGAATTACGAAAAATATGATGACCAGGATGGTCCTGAGCAGTTGTTGAGCAGCTCTGTGGGTTTGGGTTTTTTTCAGTCTGGAAAACTGAGCTGGTGCTGAGGACTCCGTTATGCCAAGAAGTATAGTGACAGGGAATATATATGCCAAGGAATATAGTGACAGAGGCTGCTGCAGAAGCATGGTCACGTTAACTATATTCTTTCTCAAGCTTAGGGCTAGGAATATGAATTCCACATTATGTGTTTTGTTGCCGTCTTATTCATGAGCAAACTGAGCAGTGCAGTAATGCAAAATTACATTGATTCCGAAAATTTTCACAGGAACACTTAATTTACTTATGAAAAATTAATTGATTTTGTCTTAAAGTCCTGTAGCTTTTCTTAAGGATCAGTCTGCACTTTTCAGGCACAAATGTAGGAAAATTCCATTATGTGATATAACTTATCCTGCAATTCCAGCCAAAGGCATGGATAGATATATCACCACTTCTGAATACGGCTCAAACTTTGTTGATTATTTCCATACATATATGGAAATAATCGTATATGTGTATATTATCTACATATTTAATTTCCAAAGCCTAAAGGAATAGCAACTATGAAGTCTGATAGTAGATCCAGTTGCAGAGAGTCTCTGATTTTCTCACTAAGGTAGTATGATTGCTCTGTATGCCCTCTCATGTGACCAAACCAACAGGCAGAAATCTTCGTGAAGTCTAAAACATCTGTCTTGTCTGATAGATGTTGGCTTTGAATAAACTCGTCTGAGATCAGTTGAAACAGAGATACTTCTCGATTTCCTTATTACCCAAAGGACTTGGCCTAGCTATTTTTGAGATGAAGTTTTCAGTGTGTTATATTTCTTGTATCACTTCTGGTTTTAATAAATACCAGAGGTTTTAAATAGCGAAAAATTTTAAAATTACTAATAGGAGCCTCTTCTTTGCATTGGCTTGACATTCTAATAAAAACACAACCAGGGTGCAAACCCAAGCTGAGTGTCCCTGTTGGCCAGCGTGAGAGGATTGTTACTGTTTTCCTATTCTTGGTTATTTAAGTACATAAAGCAATATTATAGGTCATTTAATCAATATTTATATTAGTCTTTACTTCCTTTGGGATCAGAAGAAACCAGTTATCATTGGGTGTGAAAATGTGGCTATGGATGCATATGATAAGAGTGAACGTGTTTAATATTTACTCCATTTAGTGTAGTAGAATTTCTCTGACACTTTGAAGTTTAGAGAGTTTAAAATTGAATGCACTTTATGCCATTTGGAGCTGAAAAAATATCAGAATAAAATCTGAACTCTCATTTGCCGGGTCAGGACTGAGAAAGATACAACTGGGCTACTTTGGTAAACTTAGATTACGGTATTTTTATTGCTTTGTAAGAAAACATAACCCCAGAACAAGGTAATTATATTTAATAGTTTAAACAGCTTATTACTAATTAGCTGTGATTACAGCTGAAAAACCACAAGAGTTAATGAAAGCTTTTTAATAGCCGTGAATTTAATAGCAGTTCTAAACACCTTTTTCTTTCCACTTTTGCCTCTCCATTTCTAGACAGAACAACAAAGTGGGAGCCTTGTAAAACAAATAATTTTATCTTCTCTCTTATTTTCAGCTAACAGAATTATTTTGGCTCTATAGCCTGATACTGTAAAGCAGGTTTTATAGCTAAGATCGTGACTGTTTGGCATTTGAAGTTTCTGTCATCCTGTTAGCATTCAGAGCGCTAACACCCTGCGGTTTCCTCAAAGGAGGTATTTTATTCTTTTGAGGCAGAAAACGGAGAGAAACGCGGTCCCTAGAAGATGTGGTGGTCTGTGGTACCTAATGTTTTCTTTTGGAAATGCATAAATACAACTAGGGCTCCTGCCGGGAGAGGCCAAGCGGTGAGAAAGGTGGCTGCCTTTGGGTGGAAGGTGGCGGTGCCCAGCCCTCCTGCAGGCAGAGCTGGCGCTGCCCCCGGCCGCTGAAGGGAAGAGGTGCTCGTTTTTTAAAGCAGTTTTGGTTTTAGTACAAATACGGAATTACTCTTTTAATAGCAGTTCAGTTTTAGTCAAGCATAACAAAGATGAAGATAACGGGTGTCCTCGGTGCCCCCAGAGGTGTGCTTATGGGGTTTGACATCTGTTTCGCTGTGGGGACCGGAGACACGTTCATTCAGTGGGTTTTAGAATTCTGCATGTAATCCTCTGCGTACTGATTGGCGGGGCGAGTAAAACGGCCGGTTGTTTGCCAGCTTCTCCCAAGTTCTTAGGCAGCAGAAAAAGGTCTCTCTGCTGTCCTCCAGGTGTCTGTCAGACCCGAGACCTAGCTTTGACTTTCACTTTGCAGTGATGGTGCACCTTCTGCTTTGGGTGGGAGAAAAAAATAAAGAAAAAAGAAAAAAACCCAAGAAAAATAACTTTTTCTTTTGGAAAGATTTTCAACAGTAATGGGTACTTAATATTCAGTTTGGTCTCTAGCTTTCATCTAGTTAGTTTGCCAGATTAATCTGCCTTTACTTTAATGGTAAACTAACTGATGCTTACCACTATATAAGAATAATGCAATAAACTATATGTGGTGGCTTCCATGTCTCAGATTTCCTTTCAAATTCTCTAGCAGGAGACAAAATTGATTCTGAATTACCCGTGTGCTCATTTCTTTCTGCCACCACTCAAATGAGTGGTTGTGGTCATGTTTGCTCCCTCTATACCTTTTCTAGAAGGAGCTGTGATTCTCTGTCAGGGAACCCACCTGCCACCCACTGTTGCGAGACATCAGCTTGCCTGCTTAGTCTGCGTGATAGATCATCTCTCGATTGCACACTAAAGCTTTTTTCCTATAAATCAGGATGAACTATCAAGCCAAATGCTGACTGCTTAAGAAGCTTATTAGATACTGCAAAAGATACTATGACTTCAATTACAAGTTGTTACATGCTAAAAACCTGACAGGCTGTTCTCTGTCATGCGTTTGGTTAGAGTTTTGCCCCCCGTCGGCCCCCTTCTAGAAGGGCAGCACTGGGATACGAGGAGCTGGGCAGGAGGGGCTTCCAGCAACCACAAACTGGTCGCTTAAAAATCACCTCTAACAGGTTGCCTCACTTCTGTGATGTCCACTTTCCTGGGATCATTTTCCCCAGGTATCCTTTTAGTCCCTGAAGGCAGGCGTTCTCTTTCCCTAGTGTATGTTAAAATTTCTGTTGGAATTCCTTCCGTAAACTAGCGTAGTGCTTGCTTGTGTTTCTGGATTTGTTCCTCCTGTTTCTTGTTTGTGCAGTTTTATTTGTTTTGCAGGTTAGATTTATGCCCTGATGGCATCAGCAGATGAGGTTTGTACTCTAAGCCAGCTTTGTAGGTTACCATCTAGAAACCAGAAATCAGGGTTTGCTTTGCAATTCTTTTTATCTCCTTGTTCTCCCAACTCTCAGCTTAGTGGTTTGACCTTTTGCATAAGCTATTTTTCATCAGCATTTGCCAAGGTTTTCTTAAACACTTTAGCAGTGCTTTGCAAGCATAGAGCACAAATGTTAACTATTTCATTCTTTATATTATCTGTGCTCTGTTGACTGAGTTTTTTTGGAAGTAGATTAGTCTGTAATCTTAGGTCAGGAGGTCTGAATGCTGGAAGCCATAATATATATAAAAATGACCTTTGATTCATTGTTTCAAATTCCACTTTTGTTTTGAAACTTAGAAGGGAGTATTCATGTATTTCTGTGTTTCTCTGTAGGTCACGTTACATTTGAATCCAATTTCATCAGTGCACATTCACCAGAAGCCTCTGGTGTTTCTTCTCAACTCTCCTTTGCCTCTGGTCTGGAAGCTAAAAACAGAAAGACTGGCACCTGGAATCCGAAGAGTTTTCTTTGTAAGTATACACGCTCCTCTGGCCTGCTCTGTATCATAGCTACTTGTCGCACAAGACATAGAGTTAATGGCATTCATTTGCAAAGTTTTTAAACATACGTTAAAAAAACCAAGTTAACAGGAGGTCAAGTTTCAGTGTAGGGCTCTGGGGAACAGTTAGGTGGCAGGGCAAAGCAGTTTGGAAAAAGTGCCCAATTACTTGTTATGTGAATTCAAGGAAAAGAAACCAAAATTGCTTTTTCAGAATCTGCATATCGTGTAGTTATTAACACTAGCAGCCATTCCAGTTCAAAAAGCTGTGAGGGTATAACAGATTGCCAGTCCTGATTAGAAGTTTAATAGGACCACAATGCAAAAAAACCTCAAAGCAATGGGAAATGCTATGGGTGGACTCTAGTTGTGTGGTCTGTGACCAAAACAAAAATCTGTATGTATTGAGCTCAATATGTACAATTATGGTTTATGTCTCTGATGGAGCTTGGTCTATTGAAATGACCGAGCTAAGCCCAGAATGAAGTCATTTTTATTTCTCAGAAAGACTGGAGCACTGCTTATAATGTAGGATCCAAATATTACCTAGTATTTGTAAATCATGTCCTTACAGTTTGCCAGGACATTTGAGTTTGCTATTTGTAGTGAAACAGACAAGTTGTTTGGATTAAATTTTTAATGCGTGACATCACGTCTAATCATGAGTCGTCTGTATTAAAGTTGCAGCTTTTACTATATTCAACTCTAATTGCAGAACTAAACTTGATTATTTTTAGCTGTATCCTTATAGGGTTTAATTTTGCTCCTCTAGCACAGCTGACAGTGGTAGGCAAGACTGCTTCTGCAGTACCAGATGGGAACTTAATCCTGTCACTGTGCATCAGCAGGAGGGGAAGATGGACAGTGCTGCAGCATTAGCGCACTGGGAAGGAACACTGCTCTCTCAGTTGACCTGATATGGTGGTGACACCGTTAAGTGCACCAAGAGTCCTATCATTTGCTGGACACCAAAAGTTTTCTAGGATTGTTTTTCTTTTTCGTGTCATCAGGGTACAAGAGTTAGGAGTACCTTTGATATTTTGAACTTTGAAGGACTCCATGCTGTTTCCAGTGCAATGTGTTACTGACTGGTGCAAAGAACATGGGCTTGTTTGTAGTCTAAGATATTCACAATCTCAGGTTTTCTCATTACTGTGTTAGAGACTCTTAACTGTTGTCTTCTTGTTGACCGTTCCTGGTATATGTCCTTACTGCAACCAGTACAGTTCAGGTCTGCTCAGAAAGTGACTGAGGAACAAGATGATGAACAGCAGTATGATAAGATTCCTCACTCCTCTCCTGGCCAAAAGTAACAGCACCTTTCGTCAGTTAATCGAGTCTTGGACCTAACTTCAGTTTAGTTTTGATCTCCTCCTACAGTCACATCATCACTCCCATTCCATATCAGCTAGTTTGTGTTCAGCTATCTCTTCCTCCTCCTCCAGGCTTTTCCCTCTCCCCTCGCCTTGCCTCTGGGAGCGAAAAGGTGCTCTGCTGAGAGCTATCCATTTCTACTCAGCAGACTGTGCCGGTGTTCAGACTGTGATCGTGCTGGGCTTGCTTGGTTTGGCTCAGCGGGGCTTCAGCAGGCTGCATTAAGGCATAGGAACAATAGAAATGTGCCTAAGGCCTCGGCTGCCAAAACTGTGCGATTAGCTAAGTGTTTGCTTCAGAAAACTGTTTCAAGCTCTCCTGGTTACAAAAACAGGCTTGAAAACGTGAGCAGCAGCACTCGCAATTTGCGCCAGACAAGAAGTCGTCTGACCTCAGGAAGTGCCACGGTAAACCTGGCCACTGGTGCTGCAGGAAGGGGTGGGCTGAGTCTCAGGTGGGGCAGGAGAACCTGGTAGACACAACAGGTTCAGTTCTCCGTTGGTGGGACTCAAATACCTCCTCTCAGTACTCCAGCCTCTCTTAGGCTTTGCTGGTCACAGTAAGGGCTGAAAATTGTGGTGCCTCACGCCACCCTCCCAGCACGCGCTTGCAGCGCTGGGGTAACACTGCTCCCCATAAGCTGTGCAGGTACGAGAGCGCGCCTTTCCATTGCAAGGAGTGAATTAGCTCTCAGCGTTGACATATCCCTAATCATGTTTAAACATCTGAATAGCTCTCCATAACAATTTTGGATCTCTTCAAGTGCCATATAATTTATGTGTTCTTCCTTCCACCACGTTAAGGTTTCTATTTTTCTTTTCTGTAAAGAGCTTCAAGAATGAGATTGCAGAACAGAAAACAGCAGGGTACCAATCCACTGTTACTTCTCCCAGTTTAGTCCCTGCAGTCCCTCTCACTCCAGAACTTCATTCTCTGTGTTCTCTCTCTAAGGCAGTATTTTTGCAGCAAACATAAGCTGACTTCAGTCTCTTATCAGGGGCTCATCAGCCTTCCCACTTTTCATGTACCAGTTTCTCAGTAGCTAGTGCAGCTTGGGATGATAGGCCGTGAGGTTACAGGCTGAACAACTTAAATTGTGGTGATCATCCATTGCTTTTCCACAGTTCCACTCTGCTCACAAGGACAAATGCATTGTTTTCCCAAAAGCTTTCTGAAAAAAGAGCACAGAACCATGCAGCACAGAAAACGTGGGAAGTCCTGAGTAAGACCTAGCAGCACCTGTGGGCGAGTGCAATATGCCAAAAAGAAATCGAGGGGCTCTAGTTTTGCAGCAGAGCTGTTTGCCTGCGATGGGCCGTGCCAGGTTGCAATCCCTGGGACAGCCTCTGGCCTAGAGGAGCCTGTCCCTTTGCAGAATCAAGAGTTCTTGTTTCAGGTGAGTCGTGGGGCAGATGGACATACTGCTTTTACTCTAGTAGCGGAGAGGCTCCCTGCCTCGTTGCCAGAGCCCTCAGTAAGTTTTAGAGAATTGAGTCTAGGAGTGTAAATCGCAGCTCCAAGGGAGCCGAGTGCAGAGCTCGCTTCTTTGGCCCTTGTTTGAAAATACTTGGCTTATCCATGTACTTCTGCAGCTCTGTCTTACTCATTCTCCTTAAATGTATAGCCAAGCCAGAAAACAGAATATTTTGAATCATAAAAGATTTCAAATTTAAAAAACCTTTTTTAATGCCCATGAATTCTATGCTCAAAACAGAAATCTGTGTCACGCATACCATAGGAGTGTCATAACTATTGTGTCTGTCTCTATGGAAGCCTTGGGCAGGATAATCATTGACTTTCCAGCTTCTCCTTCCGACTTTTCATATAATACATTCATTCACAATTTTATTAATATACTGTATGTAAAGTATGAATTGCACTGTTTCATCGATTGATCCCTAGTTAGAAAGCTAAGTAGTGTAAAGAAGTTTAAATGGCAGCTTCTGGGACTTACTCCTGATAAAGACAACACCCCTAGAGCCGGGTCAAAGTTTGTAGTTAAAGGATCATGTAACTGTTAGTGAAGTCCTAGCTGTTTGTTTCTTTTTATTACTAGCTATTATTTTTTCCCTGTAAAGGATCATAATAAAGTTCTTAAACTGTTGCAGGGAAGTGTGTTGGAATAAATAAATAAATAAAAATTACAAATTCATTGTATTAGAAGATCCAAGATTATTTCTAAGAAAGATGATAACTCCAGGATATGAGCAGATAATGAATCAGAGCGCTCTGTAAAGTGCAGTTAGTACCATTGTACAGGTGGAGAAACTAAGGCACACGGAGCTTAAATGATGTTTATGTTGGAGCAGAGGGTAGAGTCAGGGTTCTCAGTGTCTTCATTAGGAAGATGGCCTGCTACCATCGCTCTGTGAATTCATTGTTTGAGTTTCCACTAAAGCTAACCCGCCCCAGATTGCTTTATTTAAAGGGAAGGATGAACAGAATTAAAGCTTGTGTCAGCACATATCCAAAAGACCAGGAAAATACAGTACTATTGAGTTGGACTGGAGTTTAAGTTCTTATCATATAGTTCAAGCTTGGATTTTTGCCTTGGGCCTGGTCCTTCATTAGGCACAAGTTTAAAATGAATGGGGGAGAAAATCAGCCTTTGGATGTATGGTTATAGTATAGAGGGAAGCACAAAGTACCTTCTTGATAAACATTTTTAAGTATAAAAATGTAAATTTGGTGTATACATGTGGTTTTGCACTAATTTTTCTCATGTGATGCACATAGCTTCACTTAGCACAGTGACTTGTCACACGCTTTATCTTCATGGAGGCAGCTCTCAGTTTCACTTTCACAAAATGTCTACTGGTGGCTAAACCTCACAGCAGAATAAATTATCATTAAAATTAAATAGCATGCCCCAACCAAACCAAAGGTTGTGTTCTGTTAACATCAGGCTTTTTTTAAGGTCATGTTTGGAAGACTTTTTTCCAAACTCATGGCAGTGAATGGAAGCATAATGATGCTTACGTGAGCGACAGTACTTTGGAGGAAGCCATTCGAGACGGGGTAGAGGTCCTAAAGGGAGTTGTTCTTACCAGTCTGTTGCCTTATTGTGTTGCCATTTTGCTTCTTGGGGCATCTTTTCCCATCCATAAACCAGAGAGAATAGTGAATAGTGAATTCACTAGTGACACTAGTGAATAGTCCTAAGAAAAAATTTTGGCATCTTGATAAAAACCCGATATAAATTTCTGTGTGTTAGAGAAAAGTGAATATATGGTGACTACATAGTGTGGTGTTAACAATACATTTGGCATAGACAGGGTTATTTTCAGACTCTGCATGAGTTACATATAGCTTGATGGGTTAAGTAGGTGGTGCTGGGAAAATTATTGTGATTTTCGTAAAGTAAGTATTGAGTTTATTCGCATTGTGTTAAAAATAAATATACCTCAGTATCATGGCATTTCAATCCAAAAATACCTGAAATGGGTTAGTGCATGAACTCTGCCTGACCTAAGTAGTTGAAAATCACCACTTTGATTACTGGTGTTATCTAGTCATATTAGTCTGATTGGATATTTTTACATGTCACAACACAAACTGTTGTATTGGGAACGGGCGTTTTCTGCTCAAGTGTTCCTG